TCCTGGTGCGGCGCCGCGGCCTGGACCTGACAAAGTATGGCACAGTTGACGCCAGGAAGGCCAAGCGCATGCGCATCGGCGGCGCTGGCGGGGGTGAGCTCAAGCGATGGCTGGTGCGGGTGCGGGCAGTGGCCGGCAGCGATTGCAACAGCAAAGTTCTGGCTTTGGCTGGGCCATTTGCGCGGGCCACAATCGTTTCTTGCTGCACCAAGAACCCGGCCGTTGCATACCTCAACCTAGGCCCCATGCCGCAACTCACCCAGCACGCGCCCCTCGCCTGTGCTCCCCATCTACCCCAAAAATAATGTGTCCCAGGTGATGATGCCTCTTCCTCGCTGCCTGTTGGCCTGCCAGAGCTGGAGGAGTACGAGGCCTTTGAGGAGAGGTGGGCGGCTGGGCAAGGGAGGCGGATGGTCGCGGGGGAGGCGCTTGTGTCTGTGGTGCGGGTCTGGCCACTTTGTGTGGGGCTGGTATTGGTCAGGTGGCTCAGCAAGGTTGGTGCAGACCCGGTTCCGAGGTCTGACCCCTTGTCAAAAGCCCTAAGAAAGTTTGTGGCTCACCTTGTGGGACCTGCAGATCCACCGAAGCTGCAGGTGAGAGCTTGCAAAACTCCACGCCTGCACCACCTGTGACCAACGTTGACGCCCTGCACCCCCTCCCCTCGCCGCAACGTTCAACAACCCAAGGTTCTGGCGTGAGATCAGGGACCACACGCAAGGGGAAAACATTGAGCTGGGTGAGCGGCACAAAAACACTCTGGGCTTGCCTGCTGCAGGGTTGTCATCGGCTCGTTGGATGCCGGCGCCCAGCCAGCCTCTCAACAGTTCCCTGCCGACCGCTGCCGCCAATCCTGGGCCCTCTCAACCGCTCTGCCCCCGCCATGCACACAGACACACGCACGTGCATGCCCACCAACCCCACACATTCACGCCTGCCTCAGTGCCCACCCCTTTGCCCCGCCGTCCTCTCCCTCTCCATCGCCCGCCCCAGACGACCTGCCCGAGGGCTCCTCCCTTGAGATGGTGTATGTGCTGGGCAAGCTGAGGGAGGAGGGCGGCCCCCTGGACGTCAGGGCCACAGCGCGGCAGGCGGCCAAGGGTCCCAGGAAGGACTTCAAGTGGGCGGCCCCTGGGCGTCCCGGTCCCATGCCTTGAGGCAGGGGTCAGGATGGGGAGGCAGGGGTGGCGGCACCACCAGCTGACCGCATGCCATGTTTCAAGACGTAGCCCTGTGATGCTGGCTATTGCCATGTTCCGGCCTCCCCTGCAATCAGCCCGCTCGGCCGCCTGCCCTGTTCCACAAGGCAGACCGCTTTTCGACACACTCCTCCCTGTCTGCCCACCCACCCATCCCGTGTTGGCCCCTGGCCTGGCACTTCATCCCCAACAGGATCTCCGTGCCGGCGCTGCGACTGAGCATGGTGGTGCAGCGCATGATGGAACTGGAGCGCCGCGCGGGCCAGGAGGAGCGTGCGCGGCTGGCGGCGCGCGTGGCGGAGCTGGAGGCCTGCACTGTGGCGGCCGGCAAGGGGTTGCCTGCTGCGACAAAGGGTGTGGCTGCATAAGGTGCTGGCTGTATTAATTGTGTATGCTGGCATGAGTGCGCCTCGTGGTCTGATGGGAAAACTGAGATGAAATCGTGTGTAGCAGGAGATGTGCGGTGTGACGCAGGACGCCCGACTTCAAAGCAAGGGGGATTATCCCAGAGGTTATGCATGTGCATGAATGACAGTGAGTGACGCCCCTCACTGTTGCTAAGCCGCGTGTCTGAGAGCGCGCTTTGCATGCATGATTTTGGGGCGCTGCGCAACAGCACGGAGCGTGTGTGAGGTGCCCTCAGCGCGGCTGTGCACCAAGGCGCACTAGCTAGGGGAATAATCCTTTTTTTGCAACAGTAAACCACTGCGAGTGTGCGCACGAACCACTCTCTCAAAGGCAAGGACAGCACATAGCCCGCACCCTAGAGACATGCCTGGTCCTGGGACCTGCAGAGGAAGTCAAAGCGGCACTGCAGGCTCGCACAGGCAGGGCAGGGAGGAAGAGCTGAGTTGGAACTCTACTCGTCATGCATTTGTGTGCACGTCGAGTGAGTTGATCGGGCATCGACTTGACGCGGACTTACGTAAGAAGAAGACCCTGAACTAGAGGCGCATTCAAGGGGGAAGCTGCAGGCGCCTCACCGGGCAGGGTCAGCCTTGATTTGTGAGTGCGCTGCCGGGGTTCGAGCTGCATCCGTGCTTTGCACTGCCATGAGTACAGATAGTCACACCTGCTTCGCTGTCCAACACAGAATGGGTTACCAAAACACATACATTATCCGAACATCATCCCGCGCAATTGGACGGCATGGGAAGTTGCCCTGGCTGTCAGTGACCTGGCGTGGCACCTGGCGTGAGCTGCCCAGAAGCAGGTGCAACGAGGCCTGTCAAGTGGGGCGCGACGCGCAAACAAAGCTGCATACTCCGGACATGAGTGTTCTATCACCTGTCACAACCTTCCTACATCTTTGTTGTAGTACGCTTTTTTGCAATGTCGGGCTTGTCGGATTTCGGGCAGCTGTTCAGTGTTCACACGCAGTTCTCCGCAACTCAGGGGCCTCCCTGGGTGAGCACTCAGCGCGAGTTGAACTCCAAACTGCCATACGTCACTCACAGTCCAGCTCCATGGCCGCGACCTGCACTTGCCGCCCTCCCGCCCGCTTGCCCCCATCGTCTGCGTCTGCCGCCACCACACCCCTGCAGGGAGGCGTTCCGCCAGGTGACGGAGGTCTTGCAAGGCAGCACGCAGGGCCCAAGCTTTGTGGGACTTGTCGTCGTGCCGTCCGCCACGCGGGTTGCCGTCAAGGTGTTCAGCAAGGCCGCCATGGCCAGCAGCACGGGCCTGCTGAAGCAGGTGCGCGGTTGCAGGGGCTAGGAGCGCACCAGGGGCGAGAAGGGGGCGGGTTGGCAGACAGGCGCTACAGACTGGACAGTACGACAGGATCAGGGCAGCACCGCGTACCACTCGGCTTGTCGGGCGGAGGCGCGGACGCACAACCCCACGAGCGCACGTGCGCACGAGCGGCCGACACAGATGCAGGCCCTCGAACGGGAGGGGTGGTGCGGATTTATCGGTGTCCGCTTCCTGGCACACACCCCATTCACGCACTCTGAACGCACTCTGAACGCACACTGCACGCCGCTGCCGCGCGCCTCGCCGCCCTCAGGCAGTGGCTGAGGTCCAGCTGCATGAGAAGCTGCAGCGGGAGGTGCTGCGCGACGGCGTGCCGCGCCTGCTGGCGGCCCACGAGGACGAGACACACCTGCACCTCGTATTCGAGTACGGCGGAACGAGCCTGATTCGGGAGATCGCCACGCTCAGTGACGAGGACCGGGCGGAGGTGGGCGACGCCATTGTGGCGGCCGCGACCCGCCTGCTGGCCCGCATGCACGGCAAGGTGAGGCGTGGGGGCCAGGGCTGACGCTGTGATTACGAGGAGGGGGGGTGAGGGGCAGCGACACACGCCCTACCCCGCGGAGGGTGGTGGGCCGCGCGTTCAACGCGGCGTGGTCGCTTGCGTGTGGGCATAATTGCAGTCGTCAGTGACCGCCTGCGCTTGCAGCAGGCCGTGTGACAGGACTGCGACCGACGTGCGCTTGCAAGTTCGGTCAAACTCAAATAATAGACTTGGCAAATCCATCTACACTATCTCATCTGGCCCCTCGCGGGTTGCGGCATCTCTCTCTTCTCCCCATTCACTTGCCCACCCATCCACCCGTCCACCCACGGCCCCCAGGGTACAACGACTTCAAGCCGGAGCAGCTGCTGCTAACGAGGCGCCCCGCTGGCGCGGGCTTCCAGGTCAACGTCTGCGACCTGGGGGCGGCGACGCCCCTGGGCAGCCACCCCACCGCCTGCACGCCCACTTGCGCACCCCCTGAGGCCGGCCCCGAGATGCTCAAATACATCGCCCGCCTGCCACACCCCAACATGGGCAACTTCTTCGGCGTCAAGTATGACTCATGGGCCTTGGGCGCCACGCTGGTGCTCGCCGTGTTGGGGTTCAGCCCTTGGGAGACCCCTGAGGCGCGCGCCCTCGCCGATGACTACGACGCCTATGACTCGGCGGTGGTGGCGTGCATCACGGCGGCGCCACGCGCGTACGCGACCACGCCGAGTTTGGGGCCCTGCCTGAGGACGTGCGCGCGTTCCTGGACGCCGCGCTGGATCCTGACCCCGCCACGCGCGCCTCGTGCCTGGAGCTCTGCTTCAGCGACTACGCGCAGCGCCTGGGCGTCCACAACTGGGCCACGGCGCCAGAGGCGACGCCGCTGCTGCGCGGCAAGGCGGAGCGCGGCGGCAGAGCTGGCTGACGCGGACGCTGCCCGCGCATCCAAGGTGAAGGCGTTCTTTGAGGCTGCGACTGCCGCGATTGATGCGGCGGATCAGCGCAGCGCGGTGCTGCAGTGCCGGGTGGCGTCGCTTGAGGGGGAGGCGCAGGCGAGCGCCGTGCGCGAGGTGCGCAAGGATGAGGCCGCGGCGGCCGCGGCGGCTGCGCACGCCGCAGAGGTGGCGGCGCTCTCCGCCGCGGCCGTCGCTGCGGCGCAGCGGGAGGCGGCGCTCCAGGGGCACGTCGCAGCGCTGGAGGCAGAGGTGCTGCGTAAGAATGAGGCGGCGACAGTCGCTCTGATGGCGGCGCACGCGGCGCTGGCGGATGAGCGCACGGCCTGTCAGTTGCATGTCTCGGCGCTGCAGGCACGGCTGGTCGCGCTCGAGGTCGCTGGCAGGGCGGCGGTTGCAGAGGCGGCGGCGGCAGAGGAGGGCAGCTGGGGCGGCGGTGTGTGCGGCACCAGCCGCACTAGCAGCGTCTGCAGTAGCTACGATGGCGGCGGCGAGCGCGCCTTGGATCCGGAGCTTCTGGCATCGCGGCCGGGGTCGCCACGGCTCAGCCAGGGCAGTGGGTGTGAGGAAGGGGAGGTGACGGCGCGGGAGCAGGAGCAGCAACATGCGCACACCCACTAAGCGCGTGCAGGGCGCGGCCCACAAGCTGCGCAAGGAGGCTGACAAGGCAGCGGCGGCCTTCAAGGGCCGGCTGTGCATGCGCGCACATGCAGCGTACTAGCGGCGCTGCGTATTCTTGGAGGCTCCGGCCAACTGCTTTTGTCTGGGGCACCTGTTTACATTTGGTCACTTGACAGAGACCTGCTGTGGGGGCACACGCTTTCTATCTGCCGTGCATGTCCAGAAAGGAAAACTTTTCCTGGACTGCCTCTGGACATGGACGGGTCTAAACACACCCTTTTGGTTAGGGATGCCAGCTTGGGGGGTGCTGCCGCGGACCCGCCGCCCTGTTTCGCAGTGCCGCGCGAGCCTACGATCCTTGCGTGGCGCTGCAGCCCTGTTGAGATGCACACTCGCTTCCTTTTCTCCTTCTCCTATCCTTTGTACCAGTTTGAAGGCCTTTACGGGGTCCTGATGCAGCAATTGTCCTGGCCTTTGTTGCATCCTCAGGGCAGGCAAGCCTGCTTCCCCTAGGGTTGTTTCCAGGAAGCCTTGAGGGAAGCCGCAGCACTTTGAAGTGGGGACAGAGCCGCTGCCAAGCGCGGCTCAGCCCCTGCTCCATTTTGGCGCGTTCACATCAGGCCCTGCAAATGCCGCCACAGCACTGCTGGGGCGCTCGCTCGCTTCGTTGTTGCTGCTCAGAGAGGGTTTTGATATCTGACAAACACTTCGCGATGATCCATCTTTTGGGGTCTTGAGGGCAGGCAAGCGCCCTTGGCCTGATTGCAGGGAAGCCTGTGGAGTAGCAGGGCGCGGGGCAGAGTGGCAGCTGAACGTTCCCCAACCCCCGTTTTGTGTTGGTGCTTGAAGTCTGGCCTGCGCATGCGCGGCAACATGGGTGGTGCCATTCCTGCATGCGTTGCTGCCTTCCTGGATGCCGAGTCATCCAACTGGTGCAGCCCTTCAGGAACAGGCAGTCGACTTTGCACTGTGAAATGTGCCAATATATGTCAATTCATTACAGACAGACGAAGTAGACCAACGGTATGAGACTGTATGAAGTTACTATTTACGTTTGATTGAATCAGCCGGGGTTTCTGCGGTGCCACGGGAAGGTGACGTGGCCCGGCTGCTGGACCAGGCAGCGGCAGCAGAGTGCACTGCGCACAGAGGTCGAAGCAGCCAGTGAAAAAGTGTCAGAATATGGTTTCACAATTTTGAAATCAGCATCTCTGCTTGACATATACAAGCGTAGATTTCAAGGTTTATAGCGGTAGCAGCAAGGCCAGTGTGCCCATACAGCCAGGCGCTGTTGTGAGGTGAGGGTCCCACCCTACCAGCTGCAGGCTGTTGGTGATGCGCACAGGCGGCCCGCCCGCGTCAATGAGCATCAGATCAGTGTCATCACGCCAACGTGTAGCGGTGCTTCACCCCGACAGGGAACCACTCAGGGTCCCCCTGCTCGTGCAGCTTCACCAGCGGCAGCTGCGCCTCGCGCGGCACGTAGGCCGCATACTCGCTGCTCAGCCGCAGCAGCACACGCCGCACGGCGCGCGCGACGCGCGCTGCGAGCGCGCCACTGGCCTCCACGCCCCGCGCAACTTCGACCCGCAGCCCCAGCCGCGGGTTGTGGTCCGAGTCCTCCTCCACGTAAAGAACAAACTTCCCGGTGAGAAGATCTGCCAGCCTCCCCTGCCCTGCCTCTCCCTCCTGTCCCTCAACGCCACCAACGCCATCATGGACGCCGCCGTCGCCATCGTCCTCGCGGTCGTCGCCGCCGCCGCCCTCCAGCGCGGGCATGACCTGCTCCACGTACACATTGGCGCCGTACAGGGAAACCGCCCAGAAGCTGCGGCCAAAGACCCACACAAACGGCTGCCGTCGCACGGGGGCGCTCCTGCGGGACAGCACGCGCGCATAAATGTGTGCGTATGTGCGTGTGTGTGCGCGCGTGTGTGTGCGTGTGTGTGCGCGTGTATGTGTGTGTGTGTGTGTTTGTGTGTCGGAAGTTGTCCAATGGTGCGAGTCAACGTGCGTGCAGTTCGGGAACGGCGGGCAAACATGCAAGGAAGCCCATTGAACCACCACCACCAGCATGTGTGGTGCGGAAGGATGCTGCGCCACCGCCCATTTGCCTCCCTGCGGTGCGCCCGTCTCTACTTGTCACGCCCGACCGCGCATCTTTGCCGGCCCAAACGCCACTCGAAACAAACTCCTGCTAGGCATGCACACCTCTCATCTGCCAGGGGGTCAAACCCGCGTTTTCCAAGGAACAGCATCATCTCATCAAAAGACACCACGCCGCCAGCGTCCCCGATGCTGTACCGCACCAGCGGCGCGCCGCGCAGGGCGCAGCCGCCGCCGGCCGCGGCCTCGGAGAGTTGCGCCGCGCGGCCGGGGCCGGGTAGGGATGTCACGAGTATGGTGCCGTCGTCCTCCCGCAGCTCCAGCAGCCTGGGGGTGGGGGGTGCGCCGCAACTTGTTTGCGTGCAGCTTTGCTGCCTTTGTCAACATTGAGCTCGCAGACGATGGCCAGAAGCAGTAAGGTTTTGAAACCGCTGGTGTCGAGGGGGACCCGTGATATGACATCTGGGGCACAACAGGGGCAGAAAAGGCAAGGGGAGGAGTGGCTGAAGGCGGAGGAAATATTGGGCTGGGCGTGGGGAAGGTGGGCAGGGGTTGCTGCTCGCCTGTTGTGAGGGTCGTACTGGGCGAGCGTGGGCAGGCGGTCACGCCCGAGCAGCTGCCGGGCAGCTTCCGGATAATCTGAGAGCCACTTGCGGATGAGGGCACTCAGGGGGGTCTCCTGGGCAATCACACCTTTGGAGCATTTGACAGGGGGCGCGGGGCGGGCAGATTCAGATGAATGGCGGGGACGAGCAGGATTGGGACCAATGCAGCAGAAGCAACATAAATGGAAGCGTCTGCCTTGGTCGTTTGCACCCGTTGCTGCACATGCCCACCTGCGTCTGCTGTCCCGTAAATCGAGGCGATGGAGCGGTGGGGCTCGGCGATGCCGGCGCGGGCCGCCACCAGGGCCCGCCACTCCTCCGAAAATACCTCCCCAGCCAGGACCTAACGGGGTGTGTGATGTGCTAACAGTGATACATCACGTGATGCAGGAAGAGGGGATGTCACGTGATGAGGAATGTTGGGGCTTTGCCAAGGAAACATGCGTGCGAGGGGCAAGTGAGCTTGAGGTTTAAGAGGCCGTGCCCGAGGCGTGAGCAGCCCAGCCCCTGCAGACGGTCTGCAACCGTCCTTGGGCAACCCAAACTTGTGTGGCACCTAAACGCCACATGTTTCAAAGCCTCACATGACCCTGTTGCTGCTGTTCATCACACACTCAACCCACCATTTTGAGTGCGTACCGCCCCCAGTCAACCCCCCTGGCCAAGCCCTCGTCGATGACGCCCTTCACAAAAGGGGGGTAGCTGCGCACGCGCACAGAACAGCAGGGTTTGAAGTGGGCCCGGGAAAAGCGGCTCAGTGGAAGAGAGGAGAGCGCGGCTTTTGTGGCTGGCACAGCAGCGCCGAGCGACGAGCAGCGGCTCAGGCCAGCCGTCACAGCTCAGCAGCGTGTCCTGGTGACGCAGGCCTAGACGGCCCTCCTTGGCTCTTTCAACGCTGCGGAGATGTGGGGCCTGCAACATCTGCATGCCTGTGTCAAACCCTTCCCAACTTCCCCGGCGGTGCCCCTATTCCCGCCCCCACCCCAGGATGATGGTCTGGTCGCAGCTGGGTCCCAGAGACTGGATGATCTGGAGGATCTCGGATGGCTTGTTGCCCTGCAACGCATTTGAGAGGTGGGGCGGGGCAGGCCAATGGTGCGCTGAGACACGGACGTGGGCCTGGAATCTGCAGGGGGGCAGCCTTTGAGTGTGCAAGACTAGGTGCACAAAACATGGTGATGGCGGCGACATCGGCAGGAGATCAGGGCAAAGCGACGGAGCAGCATGGCAAACAAAGAACCAGTCCAACAGCTGCGCGCCGACACAGGGCCTGGTCGCCTTCTCACGGGTGTGGTGACGACGAGGCGGTACCCCTTGAGTGACAGCAGCCGCAGGCACAGCGTCGTGAACACGCCGCCCACCCTGCAAGCCGGGAGGCGGCGGGGCGGCGTTGAGCAGGTCTGGCCGTGGCGGCCGAGTCCCAGGGGCAGGCCGTTGCTCTAGCCGTGCAACTTGGGTGGCTTGCTTGCGCAAGTGTCAGCTGCGCGTTACGGGCGGTGCAGGGGCGCAGGCAGGAGCTTGCGCACGCTGCTGAGGGGCGCACGCTGTGCGGTGATGCGGGTTTCCTCACCAGGATCCCAGGGGCAGCACCACAACGCACAGGGAGCTGCGCTGGTGGCAAAAGAAGGAGTCGCGCAGCACCTGGGTTGTGGGGGGCGGCAATGCGGGGCTTGATGACAGTCCACATGTCACCCGCGTATGTGTTGTGTGTGCGTGTGTGTGTGTGTGTGTGTGCGCGCGGGCGCGCGCAGTGTGATTTTTGTGTGTGCTGTTGCGCCCGTGTGTGTTTGTGTGAACGCGTGTATGTGCGCGCTTGAGCGTACGTACGGTGCGGCCAGGGTGTGCCAGGCATGCAGGCCGAGGCGCAACGCCACCGGCAGTGCAGGGGTAGCGGGTCCAAAGTATAGAGCAGATGGCCGCTAGAAGAGATTTTGCCGCCGCATCGGAGCTATTAACGCCGCCTTGTCACCCGTGTGCAGGCAAACCTCAGCGCGCGCGCGCCCCCCACTTCCCCACTGCCCCTCAGGGGCGTCCCAAAAGGAACGCGTGCGCGCGCGCCCCGCCTGCCTGCTCGAAGCGCGCCGCGACCTCCGCCTCGTCATCCACGCTGCGCGCCCAGGGGGTGGGCTGCCCCGAGGAGCCGCTGCTGAAGTGCACAAAGTCCGCCCCCGACAGGGCGCCCCCCCAGCAGCGGCGCGCCAGCGGGAAGCGGTGGAAGTAGTTGCCCTGAGTGGGGGGAACGCCAGGCAGGTCGGCGCTGTTATGGGACGCAAGGCGGTGGGACAGCTCTGCATGGTGCTCCATTCTCCAACAAGCAGCGCTGACCGGGGGGGAGGGGGGCGTGTGACCGGCAGATCGATGAGTTCAGTTGTTTCAACGGGCTTGCCAAGCGGTGACCGCCTGTTGGCATGCACATGCGCATACCTTTGTGGTGTAGGCGACGTTGGAGAACAGGTCATCATCCGACCCTTGTCCACTGGCACGTGGCTGCTGCTGCTGCTGCTGCTGCTGCTGCTGCGTCCCGGCCACGAGCTCAGCGTATGCAGGCACATGCGCCCGTGCCGCAGCATACAGGGCCGCTGCGGCGCCCAGCGCTGCGGCGGGGCGCGTGCTACCGGCGTCGGGCGACTCTAACTGCAACAGGTCGTCGAGGGCTGTAGAAATGAAGTGCTCCATAATGGTTTCAGAAAACTAAACTGAGATTTTACTGATACCGGTAATCTGGCAACAACCACCAATCCACCAGATCGATCGTCTGAACGGCGCGGCAAAACGGTTTCAAGACATGTAAACATCCCAATTCTTTCTCATTAGACGGCGCGCTCCTCCCAAGCAACAGACCCAACACCGTGGTTGGCAGCTGGTGGCTGGTGACCTTGTTGACGGTGCGGCGAGTGACTGGGATGTCCCATGTGCGTTCATGGGAGCGTAAGCAGACCAAATCTGGACCCCATGTTGCAGTTGCTCTCCCAATGTACCATTGAACCCCGCGTAAGTCTAGCACATGTAGAAATCATGGCGTCAGGGTTACTCACATCGCACAAGTGCAAGAATGCAAACGGTATGCGTAATCGTCTTTCGTGACAATGGGTCTCAAGTACTTCCTGGTGGCCACCGCAAATCTGAATCGCCGCTTGCACCACCCTTAGAATCGTGGGTCAGCTGCTCGCCAGCTACCAAAGAGGGTGTGGGGTGGCAATGATGATCAGCCTCTTATTGGCTGGTGGGCTTGGTACCCGTCAAGTACTGAGCACAGTGCAGCGTATATTTCAGCGGCTTGGGGCCATCTAATCATGCAGTATTGGGCAAACTAGTCACAGCACAACATGAGCACATTTGAAAAAAAATGGCAAAGGAGTGACACCTGGGTTGGGGCCGCACTGCCCCAAAGGGGCGTGGCAATTATCCTCGTCCCTTGACAAGTGTGGCAACAACAACAATTGCTCTGCTGGTCTGCGCAAACATGCACTTCAAGAAGGCGTGCAGTGTGCGGCAATGGACTGGCAGATCGAAGCAGTGCTCCAAGCTGTGTGCGTATGTGCTGGGAGGGTCGCCTGAAAAGCGCCGGCATGGGGCGACGGCCCTGTTTTGATGCAGAGAAGACCCCCGCACGACTGTGAGTGGCGCAGGATGCGCGTGCGGGCTGAGCGTTGCCAGGTTATGTGTGGGTCAAACTCGTGAGTGCTGCCAATATGCACCTGTACGTACATGGCACTAGCAAGTCCTGATCATCATCAGCCCATGATGGGCTGCTTTATTAGGGCGGAAGATGTTCCTCAGGCCCTGTACTTTGATGTGAAGCTGTGCACTGTGTTAGGATCTTCAAACACGTCGAAGATCTCTGGGACCTGGCAAGCCCCGTCCACGAGGACCAGGGCGGTTTTGGTAACTGTGACAGGGTACGGCAGCGGCACGTTTGGCACGACGACAACGGCGCTCTTGCCGACTTCGATCGGCGTCGTCACGGCAGCCGACGAGCCCCAGCCCGTGGTGTTGTACGTGCTGCAGTTGAGGACCTCGCGGAACTCAAAACCGCTCCGGAACACCGACACGACGCCCAGCGCGCCAGCAGCGAGGCCGACGTTCTTGATGGTAATGCGGAACTCGGCCGTGCCGGCGGCTGTCCGCTTGGCCTTGCTGCTGGTGACCAGAAATCCCGGCAGGGGCTGGGGCAGCACCTTGTAGGTGAAGGTGATCTTGTTGTCAACGTCCTCGTCAGCCTCGGCCGTGGCGCAGTCTGCACGTTTGGGGTGGGCGGGCATTGGGGCCACCAGCTTGGGTACACAGCAGGCCGCGCGCGTGGGTAGTGATAAGGTCACACACATTGTTGATGGTGAATGAGGGAGATATCAACAACAAGGGGCAGGGAAGTGGGCTTGCAGAAGTGCTTGCTGGGTTGCAAAGCCAAGCACCTGCAACCAACCAGGTTGATCATGTTCTGTTGACGACTGTAGAAAATCCAGTCATCATCTGCAGCCCCGCCCCGCCTTTACGGGCCGGCACCACCCCGCCTGCGCCCCGGCCACGCACCACGCTCATCCCCTTGCACAGCAAGGCAGCGCCCCTGCCCTCTTTCCGCACGCCTCCGCATCCACAAGCCCACCTCCGTCCACAAAGCCCACAAGGGTCTTCTTGCCAGGCGTGGCCGGGGCCGGGATGCCCTTGACCGTGAAGGTCTTGGACTTGCCAAGCGGCGCAATCGTGTCGCTCTTCAGGGCCGTGGAAACGTCCGCTGTCGCATTGCAACTAGGGACGAAGGGGCTGCCGAAGGGCACTGACCAGAACTTGATGGCGCCGAGTTTGCCGGGCAGGGTGCCCTGGTTTGACACGCTCATCTTGACGCCAAATGTTTGGGCCGCCGTGGTTGCGCTCCAGTAGACGCCCTCGTACCTGCATGCACAGGCGCGCCGCCGGGACCGCGTGTCAAGCGAGGGGTGGGTGAACAAGGCTTGTGGGTAGTAGCAGCGGTTTATGAGTGTTTGCTGCCAGCGGCTCTCGTGTGCCGTCTGTTGTGCATGCATCAGAGCCCGGGCGTGGCATTGCTGTGCCACGCACGCAGATACGGCACATGGGATTACCGTGTCCTCGATGCATGTGTGTGACTGACGGCCTTGCAGGGGCCTTGCAGGTGTCTAGCAGTTGCACACCAGCTCAAGGGCATCTGGCAATTGCTGATACGATTAGTGACACCACCGCACCTGCCATTCTTGGCCCACACAATCTTGTCGAAGCTTAGGTCGGGGATGGGCGCGGGGGTGACCGTGTATGGAACGGTGACCTGCGCAAGGAATGGCGTGTGTGCGTGGACGAAGGGCCTGATGGGGGAAGAGCAAGGGCGCGAGCGAGCAAGAGCACGTGATAGCGCGTGCGCGCGAGAGCACGAGAGAGCCCACATACGGGAGTGCGCAAAAGTGCGCATGCGAGGGAGTGCGAGGGTGCAAGAGAGGGGCGGGGGGGTGTTGATGCTAGCAGGTCAGTGCAAGACAGGGGGAGTGCAGGACAGGGAGGCAGGGCAGCCGGCCTGATGTGCGTGCTTGCCACACAGCACAGCACATGGAGTAGTATGAGACGCACAGCCTTGGCTGGATGAAATTGGTGCTTTGGCGCATTGCGCTGCGCGCTGGCGCACCCGGCCTCAAGCTCGAGGAAGAAGGTGGTGAAAGGGAGCTTCAAAAACCAGCACGCCTACCCAGCGAAACCCACCCTTTTCAGCATTCACCTGGTATCTTCTGCCAGTGCCATCCTCGTTGTAGTACAGTTCGCATTTACTGTCGATAAGCACGCGAAGCGCGTGCGGCCCCGCAGCTTGCGGCGCCTTGACCTTGTTGATGGCGACCGATTTGCTGGTAAAGGCTTTGACACTCGGCACGCGAGCCTTGATGTCGCCACTGGGCCCTGAGCAATTCTGCAGCACGGGCTGGTCCGCCCACAGCTTCGCACACGCGCAAGCGCCGGCGGCGGAGCAACGGGGCAGGGGGGGATGATTGCGTTGATGGTGGGTAAAGGATAGCAGGAGTTTCGAAGACCTGGCGCAGGTAAACAACACATGCGCACAGCTCTTGTACCAGGTGACCTCGCTCACAGCTGGGCGGCAGCCGCAGCTCAGCACAAATGTTGAGGCACGCATGTGAGCCGGCTCCAGGCCTCTACGCGATATCAGGCTGCTGAGCCCCAACGCGGCCTTCTTGCATGCAGCGCCGCCTCTTCAGCCTATCGCGTGGCCTCCCCGCCCGCCAGGCAGCCAGAAAATCGTGGCCCACATGGTTTAGACTCACCTGCAACTCAACGGCGGGCGAGCTATAGCCAAAGGAGTAGACATCAAAGGAGGCTGTGAATATCCCGCCGACGACGGGGAACCGGGGCGTGGTCTTCAGACCCGACACAGTTGGCTGTGCTAGCGGGTCAACAGCAGCAGTGGCCGGGGCGGCCAGGGCCAGGAACAGCAGCAGCACTCCCAGCAAACAGCGCCCTGCCATTCCTTTGCAGGTGTATGCCGCCATCACTTGCATGGTGCCTCTGCTTGCTGCGCTTCCTCGCCCTGGGTGAGTTTGGAAGAGTAGGTTGCCAGGGAGAGTGGCCCCAGGTGCCGGCACATCAGCGTGCCTGTGGCGGCTGTTCATGACCTGAGAATGTTTTATTATACTATTCGAGTCCATGGGGATAGCGTGGGGGCCTGCCTAGTTTTCTTAAACTTCAGCTCTGTGACCGCGGCCCGGCCACGGGTGCAACGCCTTGTCAAGTGCAAGGCTTGTGATACAAATCATGCGCAGTGGTGATCGTACAGGATCAGACCCCGGTCACAACCGAGACGATGCCTGGCGAGGCTGCATGCACCTTACCTGTCAGACGGGTGATGAACGTCCGAACGCAGCTACAGGGCCGCTAATCAGGAGAATTAAAACAGTGAAATCAGCTTGTGGACGCTGCGGCCAAACTTGCAATAGACGCAGATAGCCATGTCACTCCGCGGGCACCCCCTCGCTCACTTGCGGCCAGGAGCCACGGACCCACGAGCTGTGGTGCGACAAGGGTCCAGCAGGTGTCGCAAGGGCGGGCTTGACCCATTCATGCGCCTGAACACACGCAAACGCTTGTTGATGCTTGAAATGGGTACGGGCAGGGATACCCCACTCGCTTTGTGCACACCGCTGCATGCCACATCTGCCATGTGGGTGTCTACGGTGGTGGGCTCCTCCAGTCACCACAGGGTAACGTCGTGCTCTTCACTGCATGCATGCGACTTCGGTGATTTCTCTTGGAAGCACGTTGACCTCCTGACAAGTGCTGCACCGCTCACCTGCGCGTGACCGTTCGGAGGGAGCGGGGCGTGCGGGCCCAATGGCAGGTCAGCCTGCGAGGCGGTTGCATGTTCTGTGTTCCCACTTACTCTGCGCTGCTTGTGCGAAAGCCGCCAATCCTTGACTTACTGAGTTTGGGTTACCGTCTTTGGCATTGTTGGGAAACAGCGGAGCCATGTGTGACGTTTGCGACCCCCCCATGCAGCTCTGATGCAGCTCGAGTGCAAGCTGCAGGGTGCTGAAGCGGAGCGCAATGCACCGCGAACTCACATCCATGCTGATGTTTGAGACCTGGGGTTGTAAAATTCGTCAAGTCCAAGTCATCATCGCAGACAAGTGACGGGTGTTAGGGGCATGTGAGAGAGCAAAATGGAGAAAGGGGCGCCGCATACACGAGGAGGCACAGCACACCAAGCACTCCTTGCAACGGATGCCTACATAGTAAGGGTGACGTGCGACCGCACCCCCGGCACGCGCCGCAAGCTGCGTGTAGGCATGCGCTGTGCTCACCGTGCTGGGGGTGGCAAAGGCACTGGCACCCATGTGCCAGTTTGTTCGAGATGAGGATTGCACAAGGCGGATCTGGGAAGTGCTCCTAGCTGATAGTGTGAAGGACACTAAAGCATCAGGTATGATACGGTACTCAAGTATGATACCGTGCTCAAGGGTCCTACGAGGCTCAAGGGGCGTTCACACTTAGTATAGTTTGTAGTTAACGTCAGGATAAACCATGACGCCGTTCCCGTTTGCATGTGAACGCGAGTGGTCTCGCGCTCCAGTTTGGTTTGTTCTGACGGGCGAGGCTGACGGTAACGAGCCCTCTGGGGGAGCCGTTCGGATTTGCTAGTTAGTCCTGTTCACCGTAAATTCAGCAGCTGCACCTTAACGGAGAATTTACTAGCAGTCGTTGCAGGCTTCAAAACAATTACAGCCCGCGTTTGGGACGATGCGTGCGATAAATACAATTGCCAGGGTGCTGCTGCTGTCATTCTGGGTCCATTTCACCTGAAAGCGATAGTAGCAATACATCAAGGCTCTATGAGGTTGATTCCACACCGGAAGCACAGGCAATCATGCCCCACACGCCCCTTGCAGGGGCAGTGTCCGCCATTGCAAAGAGGTTGTGGGACCCACGCGCACAGGGGCGCGATGGATTTTATAAACTTATCTAATTATCTGCAATACCACTGGACTCAGATGATCGATCATCAGACATTATGTACTCCATATGCTATGCCGTGTGTGTGCCAAGTATGAACGCGTCTTGCCGTTTGCCCGTAGTGTAGTTGGGCCAGCGAGCCAAACGGAGACAAACTAAACGGTACTGTGAACGCCCCTTCAGTCATTGCCATTCGGGCCCTGATACCGAAGTCGTTATGAAGCGATCTTGGCTGATCAATCAGTATCAAAGTTATCAACCACCAGCCTCTTTCGAGTTGACGTGTGCAGATCATAATCTTGCGGTGCCACCGACCCCTGTGCCGATCGTGTTGGTGAACACTGTAGCATGAATGTCCACACGCCTGCGCTAGCTTTGACCTAAGTTGGAGTTCTAGGGAGGAGCACCGCCGCGGGGCGGCGCACGTTGGTTGCAGCGGGGCCGCGTGCGCTCCGCTGCAGCGGCGGTGCGCGATGGTGTTTGGCAGCGACATCGCGGTGGTCGTGAGGGCCAGGAAGGGGCGCAATGTCCTCGTGCAGTCGTGAGTCCTGCAAGGAGTGCTGTTGATGTGGCTGCGCGCATTTGTGCTCTCACAACTGCAAGGGCTGGTGAGCCGCAGCGGCCTTCGCCCCCCCCCCCCCGCTGACAGCGCCCGCGGCGCCCGCGCCTGCCCTCCGCGCCCTCAAAGCCATGGCCTGGATATGCGCGCAGTGGTGGCGGCAGCGCACGACGTGTCGGCGGCGCTCGAGGGCGACCTGGTGTCTGCGATGGAGCTGCTCGATGCAGGGTGGGCGTTCGTCGGTGCCCCAGCGCTGCGCAGAGCTCGGCGGCTCCTGGGCGCGAAGCCGAACGCTCATCCAACTGTTTTGGGCTGCAGGCCCCTCTGGTCGCAGCGCCCTGGTGCATTGCGTGCCACGAGCCGCTGCAAATGTAGACAGCCCCAGTTTGTATATCCATGGTGGATAAAACAGCATCTGCACCAGCAGCCACAGCACCCACTGCAGCAGCAGCCGCCTGGTGATCCCTTTGGCCTTGATAGGTGCAGCTGCGGGCCCGCTGCTTCAGCACACCCCTGCCTTTCTGCAAGTCACCAGCGGCACATTCCACCTTCTCTTCAAATCCAGTCCCCCTCACGTTTTTACAACCATCCTGCCCGCGCAGTGTCGGTGTCGGCACCCAGGCGCCCCTTTCCTGTGGCCACCTGCGTGTCGTTGGGAACAGGTGACCCTGGGAGGACATCATTAGGCGCAGCTGCAGCCTCGCGGCTGTGTTGCATCCAGCCTTTCGCACCCTCTGCTGACCTCTGTACGCGCTTACACACACGCACGCACGCATGCGCCGCCACCCAGGTATGACGCCGTGTACCGCGTCGTGGGCGGCGTCTTCATCATCGCGGTCACTCGGGCCGGCGCCAACCCCTTTGCCGCGCTCAACCTGGTGGTGGCCGTCACGCGCCTGCTGTGCGCCGAGTGCAAGACGGTGGACCTGACGGCGGCCCGCATCCTCAAGAGATACGCGCAGGTGAGGGCGCCGTGCGGCCGCCTGTGGGGGCCCCGCTGCATGGTCCAGCCATTGTGTTAAGCCGTGGCTTGGGTGGGGTGCTCTGCAGGGCCGAGCAGTGGCCCTCTACTGTGAACCTGAATGCGGCATGTTGCAAACCTTCATTATAGCTGCCGCGTGCAGCCTCTTTGACACACACACACACACACACACACACACACACACACACACACACACACACACATTCACGTGCAAACAAGCACACACGAACGAGCTTGCTCGCGCGCCTGCGACCTCACCCCACATACATGAGCACACACTTGCGGGCCGGCAACATTCCATACACGCACAAGCAATCTTGCACACCGCAACCACGCATGAACTTCCCCCCACCCTCCCCCACCCACTCACGCCCACAGGCCTACCTGTCTGTCGACCTGCTGGTGTCGCGGGGCTCCCTGGACATTGTGCGCGCCCTCACTGACGCGGCCCTGGTGCTGGAGGCCCTCAGCCCCCAGGGCGCCAAGGCGCGCAAGATCAAGGCCCTGCAGGACAAGGCGCAGGCGGCGGTGGCGGCGAAACAGGCCAAGCAGATCGGCAAGTGAGTGCGCTCGGCCACAGTTGTCAACAAAAGGTCGCATTCGGGAAACGGATCCTTGCCTCGACCCGGTCTATTTGGGGCCGGCAGGTGGGCAGTCCTTTCGGCGGCCTGAGGTGTGAATTCGTTGCAACGAAAGCAAACCCTTGACCCCCTTGTGGCGCTGAGCCTTGTCCCCCACACACCACCCGCATCGTGCAGGCGCCTGCCCGACATGCGCAGCCGCGACGGCCGCTTCGCCTTTGCCACGCCGCCTGAGCTGGCGGCGATCGACGTGCACCTGCCCACCTTCCCGCTGCCAGACCTGCCTGGCCCGGACCAGCCGCTGGCAAAGCCCGTCGTCGTCAAGACGGTGCGCACAAAGCAAGCCAGGGGCGCTGCTTGCGGGCAGCGCTGGCGTGCGGATTTGCCCACCTCACAGCACACTGAGTTTGTTTGCGCAGCCGGCGTCGCTCGCACTCTCGGTGCGTCGATTCCCACTGGGGAGTACTTACTCTTGCCCCAACACCCTCTGCACTGCCCGTGTCGGCCCCTTACTACACTCACAGCTCGAGCTGGAAGAGGAGAAGAAAGAAGGTCGGCGGCCGCTGCCGGGTTGAGGCTGTGCACTGGATTTCTGGGTTGGCCCCAGGTCTTTTTGAGCAAGGGTGGCTGCTCTCCAAACTTATTGCCTCTTTCCAATTTATAAACAAATTGTTCCCCGCCTTTTCCCAACATTTCACCAACCTTGGCCCTCCGCTCTTTGCTTCTGCCCCACCTCATACAGAAGCCGAGCCCGAGGAGGAGGCGCCGCAGCCCATCAGCATCCTGCTGGCGCCCAAGGGTCCTGCGCTGCGCCTGCAGGAGTCGTGGCTGGCAGAGAGCGTCGGCGGCCGCGTGCTGCGGGCGGGGCTCAGCGGCGCGGTGCGGTGGGCGTCGCAAGAGGTCAAGTCCCTATCCGGCAGCGTGCCCTTCAAGCTGCAGGTGCCAGCGTGGGAGCGCGCGCGTGAACCACAAAACCCATGCCGTTGGGAGGTTGGGTGTTGCCATGTGTGCCTGTTTCCGTGCCCGTCGTGCTGTGCCAAGCGCACTCCAGGTTCCGTTATATATATCGCATGCCAAACCCGCGCCCAGTGAGCTGACCCTAGCACTCACTTACGACTCGCCCTAAGTGAAAACATGAACGCCTACTCGCCCCTTGCCCCAGGTCCCCGACTTTGTGGAGCGTTCAGTGAAGGCCGCGATCAGCTGCGCCCACGCCACCGACCGCGCCGTCAAGCAGGGCCCAGAGTACGGCTCATTCATCGCCGACACGCTATCTGGGCTGCCGGCCTCAACCGCCGTGCTGACGTACGCGCTGCCGTCCACCTGGGGCGGG